TTAAACGAAGAATTTAACTTTTATTTTTAAATATATATAAAATATGGCTGATATAGCGTGCGTTTTTTGTGTGTTTTTTTTGACTGTAAACAACTTTTTTTAACTAAAATTTCGACTGTGGACATCTAAGAATGACTACACACACACACAAAAAATTTATATAAAATTACTCAAAAAATACTTTTACGTTGTTTTTTCTCAATAATGAAAAAAGCGTTTTATCATAAAAAAATTTTTTATTTTAATTTTCAGACCGTTCTTGATTTCATTAAATGCTATATTAGATTTTAAGCCACTGGGTTTTGAAATAATAGTCGGGCCAAGGTACAAGCAACTGAAAACTTAGCTTTATTTAAAGTAAACTTGTATTTTAGCTAAGTAAACTTGTACGAGTCTGAATAAAGCATTTGAATAAATACAAATTTTTCTGCCTCTCAGTAAAATTTCTCCACGTGCCTATTTGCTTAATTTGAGTAAATGGATGGCAGAACAGAGTTTAGGAGAGATAACAAAACGATAAAATGAAAGGAAATTGTGGAGAGCTATGATCGCCAATATCCTGATGGGACACTGCACATGGAAGAAGAACTTTAAACGTTATGAAAGCAAAGCTACACATAACCTACCAATCTAGTTTGTGTAACTGGATGGAAGAACTGGGTTTACAAGAGATAACAAAAGACTATATTTATTAAGAGCTACAAAGACAGGAAATTGTGGAGAGCCATGATCCCCAACGGCTTGAGGGGAGACGGCATATAGAAGAAGAAGAATATACTTAACTAGTTGTAATTATATCTAAGCCTTTCATAAGTTCTACAGAGCGTGTAAATTTAGGTGTGTTGAACATGTTAAGTTTTTTTTTTTTTTTATTAGTCTTTTTAAAGCTAAACTCGGCCAGCCACACTGGCCTGACCTACGGGTCTCACGATCTCTCTTCCCCTTGTCCTAGTAGCAGCGGAGACATGATTCGCCAAACCAATACGTTTTAGACGCCAAGCGAATTCGCCATTTTAACACCTGCTCTAGTTTCCCCTCAGTCGTCATTTTGGAAGTTAACCGACACCAAATCACCATGGTAACGATTCAATACAGACTGAATGTGCATAGCAACAGACAAACGCAACTTGTTCAATAGAATGGAGATTTTCATACATCCAATAGCGTTACGCTGAACTATTCTCTTTCGTTTCATTCTTCATACATCTGTTTAAATCTTCCATCTCTTTATTATTATTATTATTATTATTATTATTATTATTATTATTATTATTTTCTTTGATTTCTGGCGTTTACACATTTCTTTCCGGGTCCCGCCTAGGGACCTAAGGTTAGAAATGGCGTCATGACACATTCCACTGACAAAAAAAAAAAAAAATTACATAGATAAAGCCCTTCGTAAAAGGTGTGGGCTGTACTTGTCAGAACAATTTTTGTATCTCCTTGAGGCATGGACTTCCAGGAATCCCTTCAATTAGTCTACTGCAATCTTTTCCAACCAGTATTATTATTATTAGTAGTAGTAGTAGTAGTCGTAGTAGTCGTAGTAGTAGTAGCAGTGATTATCTTCTTCTTCTTCTTGATGTGCGGGTGTTGTAATGGATAGTGGCTCGGGATGAGAAATTGGAGGGCCTAGTTCGAATTACAGCCGGGTTCGTTATATTCACTTACGCGAAAATACTCTTGGAGGAGGGATGAAGCCAAATCCTACGCCTAGCTATGAGTTACAATACATAGTAGGACTTGTATCTGGTAAAATCCCAAAATATTGTTAATGCATTATTCACTCGCAAAAAGAAGAAAAAAATGTTTACAATCCAAAATAGAAAGAAAAGACTGATAAGCCGTAAAAAAAAAAAAAACAAACAAATCAATGAATCTTCAACAATCGAATCGAAACTTATATTTCATTTTTTTCACTGCATCCTTCCAGCTTAATGGCGAATCTGTTTCTCTTTCCTTTATTCACTTCCAATTTCCATTTCTTCTTTTTATATTACCCGTCACTTCTTTTCTTTCTTTCTTTCTTTTTCTTTCTTTCTTTCTTTCTTTTTCTTTCTTTCTTTCTTTCTTTATACTTTCTTCTTTCTTTCTTTTTTTCTTCGCCATTATTTCCTCTGTTTTCTCTTCCTCCCTTTGTTTCCTTAACTACAAGTCACAGTTATCAACCGTCTGTTTAGTTCGCAATTATAGACTTTAAGCGTTCAGTGTTTTGGCTTTGAATTCTTTTTTTTTTTTTTTTTTTTTTGAAGTGGGGGTTGTTTGGTGAGTAGTTTGTTATTCACATGTTCAGATTAATTGTAACCTGATACGCAATAGCAATGGAATGACCAGAAAGGAAAACCAGGAACCAATGATTCTCTGCAGAGGCCGATTATAAAAAAAAAAAAAAACGGCGAGAAGATCAATGTTTAGATCAAAGTTAAGTATGATGTTCCCATTTTCAATCGCTATGTAAACATTAAGACCTATTCAGATGATAGGGTGCATAATTATCTATCTATCTGTTTTCCTCTCACTCTCTTTCTCTGTCTCTCTCTATGTCTCTCTCTCTCTCTCTCTCTCCATATATATATATATATATATATATATATATATATATATGTGTGTGTGTGTGTGTGTGTTTAGGCAGCAATCCGTCTTTCGTGCACATTTCATTGAATACGACAGACAAGGTGCTTTTATTTAGTTTTTTATACAATTTCTCATGCGATCGAATAATTTTTTTTTCTTTCCAGATGAGAAATTATCTAAAAACTGGCCGAATGTTCTTTTTGTCCGAGCGCTTTCGGCTATACATTTAGCCATTTTCAAGGATTAAATATTTTACTGTTAAATAAGAAATAGTTTGTTGCATGTATGTTTTATAAAATGTTTTCATTTTTCAAAACACGGTCAAGATATTGTGTCCATGTTCATAGTTAATATTATTAAGTGTTGTTTTTTTTTTCTCATATATATATATATATATATATATATATATATATATATATATATATATATATATACCGTATTTTCCGGACTATAACCCGCGACTTTATTCTCGAAATATGTAGGGTGTGGGCTATATAACAGTGCAGGTTATATATGAAATGTGTCTTCGAACCTTGAGTGGCTGGGGTGAGGGTTAGGGGAACATAGCGTCACAAAAACAGGTCGCCAGCGTCGAACCAGTTATGTCCAGATATTTGAATTTATAGCAGTGCGGGTTATATACAGGTGCGGACTATAGTGCGGAAAATACGGTTTTTATAATCCTTGGGTTTACCCATACGGATTACCTAGTTTTTCATAAACTATATATATATATATATATATATATATATATATATATATATAGATAGATAGATAGATAGATAGATAGATAGATAGATATGGTTTGCCGGAAAGTTTATGCTGATTTTTAAGGGAAATTAAAACACAAAATATTATGCCATTAAATATTCATTCAACAAAATATGAATCATTTTATTGCAGAACCTTTCTTCATGTTTCCTTCAATCTAAAGATTCCATCTTCCTAGAATTTCGGTGATTTCTTGGCTAAGAACCTATTAATGTAGTTTTTTTTATGTCATCAAAAGAATTAAAAGTTTTACCTCTGAGATTATTTGGCAAAGATTCCTTTTCAATCCTACACAGCAACACATTCTTAGGATGAAGACCTGTTTTTGAGTTGGCTAAAGTTGGCTGGTGTCGCTTACTCCAGAATCTATTTTGCTGAGCATTATCGCAAACAACAATCCATTTCTCATCACCAATCACAATTTGCTTCAAAAAGGGTGCATTTCCATTGCTTTTATATAGCAAATCACAGATGAAATGTCACCCAAAAGATTCTTTTGTGGCACCCCAACATCGTAGCGATTTGAGTACCCAAGCTACACTAAGTGCTCATGGAGGCTGGATTTTTATAAATGTAGTGTTTCTGCCAATTCCGGCGTTCTGTCATGCGGGTTATTCTCAATCAATGTCTTAACTTGGTCGTTATCTGTAATATGTGTGATGGAGTCTGCTTGAGCGTTCTTCACCAATAAGGCTACAATCACCAACTCTAAACTTAGAGAACCACTTCCGTACAGTTTCGTCATCTAAAGCTCCTTCATCGTACACAGTATATATATATGTATTGTTAAGGGGTCCACCCCTTTTTATACAAGAGGACTCGCCCAGTGTGTACTGCTACCGGTGAATACTCGAGAGTGGGAAAGGGAGAGAGTGAGAGTGTGAGGTAACCGCTTTGTAGGAGTCACAGTTGCGAGCACGTAGACTCAGAAGGAAGTCCTACTTCGATACTGAATTTCCTGGACTGTATATATATTATTATTGCTACTAATCGGATTTCTGGATCTACTAACCGTATTACCAATTGTATTATTACCTCAATACATTTATTTGCTATATTTCATTCCTGCGTTTGTCATTCATTTGAGATCGGATTTCATTCCGGAATCCACAACATATATATATATATATATATATATATATATATATATATATATATATATATATTTTTTTGTTTTGAGGAATTTTTTGCCTTTACGGTAAAAAAAAAAATCAAGTATCTAAAATGCACCTTAGAATTTCAGTTTTCATTGCAAAATGGACACGAACTAAATAATTTTAATAAGTAATTAAGTAATTTTAATAAGTAATTAAGTAATCTTAAACTTTCTCAAGAGATTGTTGAAGTGCACTCTAATCGGAAATGTAAGAATATTATACCTGTCAATAAATTTGACGTGTTCTAACGTGTTGGAACATGAACGTCTAAAAACCGGCCTGACCTTTCCGAACAAGCCAACACACACACACACACACACACACACACACACACACACACACACACACACACACACACACACATATATGAGAGTGAGGGAGGGTGGATATTGAAATGAATATTGCAGTATTGATTTCTATGTCCACACTCCGATCATCCTTTCTTTTTAAATATACCAAAATTTTAAACAACCTGCGTTTATATTAATATTTAAATTTTACGGCCACATCATGTTGAAACACCGGTTTCCGTATGATCAGCTAAGTTAAGCAACGTTGATCCCGGTCAGTACCTACATGAGTTACGGCTGGGAATACCAGGTGCAGTAAGCTTTGATGTGCGGGTGGGGTAATGGATAATGGCGCGGGATAGTTAATCGGGGGGCCAAGTTCCAATTCTCGTTGGGTTCGATACATTCACTTACGCGTAAATAGGAAAAGACATGAATCCACTTCATCAGCGCCCAGCTATGGATTAATTAGTAAGACTTGAATCACGTAACAATTATTATCTCTCCCCGCAAATTCTTACAATCTAGAAATATTTTCTGGCTTTAGATAACTTAATAATATTTTTCGAATTGTATTTTTTTATTTTTTGCAATTTTTTATTTTTTTTTGTGGGTACACGTAGTTGTGTTGCTACTTCTGTTGAGTCTTTTTTTTTCTTTTTTATACAGTGAAATTAATAAGAAGGGATTTAAACTGAGAACTCCTACTCCTAAAGAGACATTTTTCTTTAGTAGAATCTCACAATCTCGGCTGGTTGTTATTTCATTTAAAAACTAACAAAACAGGGATAGCAACTCAAATACGTGTAGCAACTAAAAATAAAGTTTATATATATATATAAATATATATTCGTGCAGAACCATCCACACTTTCTGAAGGGACGAGACCTGGTGCACCGAGTGTCACAAGGTTCCCATTCGGATATATAGTTGTCCTTACAGAAGACCAGTTGCTATCCTGCTATTTTACCCATAGCTGGAGGGAGAAGAAGAGGATTCATACCTTTCCCAAAGGTAAGTGAATGTAATGGATTCGACTGGAATTCGAACTCTGCTCAATACAAGGCACTGGACGACCGTTTCGTACTATATTTGGAACTCATCAGCAGTGCGCATCCACTACCGAGGATTGAAACCCTGACAGTTGGGTTGTCAAGCGAACAACATACCAACTGCTCCAGAGATTCCAAATCAGACTCAACTTAGCGCCGCTCGCTCACATATTCCGTGGCGGAACTCAACTGAGTTCTCTTAACCATAGGACTGTGCCCCCTCTCTCTCTCTCTCTCTCTCTCTCTCTCTCTCTCTCTCTCTCATATATATATATATATATATATATATATATATATATATATATATATATATATATATAAAGAAATGGACAAAGTCCGACAATTTATTTATTAAAGACATTTTTATGTTTAACGTTCTTTTTTATAGATACAATTATTTAAGTAAATGCTCTGTTTATAATAAACAGTATTAAATAACATTTACCGGCCTGAATGTCCGAGAAATTTTCATAAAAATATTCGTCCTTTGACAGGATTCGAACCTGCATCCTATACGTTTGATACGCCAGAGCAGTTATGAATGTACGAGATTCATGGAAGATTGAAGTTTATAAGCAGTAAATTCGACCTTGCCTACCGAACGCTCTTTGTGGCCAAATCGGTTAAAGGAACGTCAAGTTCAATGACGGTTCCGTATAGGATACAGGTTAGAATCCTGTCAAAGGACGAATATTTTCTGTGAAAATTTCTCGGAAATTCAGGCCGGTAAATGTTGTTTAATACAGTTTATTATAAACAGAGCATTTACTTAAATTTACATAAAAAAATGTCTCATATATATATATACACACAAATGAACACAATTCTATCATATATCCATATATACTTAGCCTGGAGATTACATTGAGACCGAAAACTGACACTCGCTATACAGTGTTGAGTCCTATGTCTATATTTATAAACACTACACTTCTGATCCTGAGCTCTCTTCCTCCATAAATAAAACAAATTTTAAACTATATAGTTTAAAATTTGTTTTATTTATCGTGAGAGATGTGTGTGTAAGTTTTAGACATATGTATTCAAGCTCGTAACAATCGTCCAAATGGATGCAAGGAAGGAGTGTACATTAAATTTATATAGGGAAATGTTAGTCATACGAACGAGACGCGTGAGTAATATTTTATCTGTATAATTGGTTGTACCTGGCAAGATTATTAAAAAATGCAACCATACTAAAAAAACAAAAAAAAAACTCAGCTTTAAATGTTTTGTGTTTTTTCAATCGATAAAATTAGTAAAAATATATAAATTCAATTGCCTTTCAAATAACGAAAATATGGGTCGTAATATTCAAAGATTCATGACGTAAAACTAAAAGAAAAATCGAAACAAAGTCATAAAATTATTGAAACCACTTGAGTTTACGTCATACTTTTGAATTCTTTGTTTTAATTGCTTTATTTATCTGTTAAAATTATTTCAATAACGCTTAAAGCTGTTGAGTTACATCATTCTGACTGACCTTTTCGTGTTCATAGAATTTGAAACAGTAATAAACTAATAGACTTTCCCAAATGATTTATATTCAGTAAAATTAAATATTCAGATGACCTTGATCCGAATTTCAAATAATCGTTGTTCGGATAACCGACATTTTACTGTAGTTGGATGGCCAATCAGATGACCGTATTCATGGGGTCAAAATGGTTAGGTACCACTAAGTCAGACGACAGTGTCGCTAATACTGTTGATATGTCTGATGAAGAAAAAAGAGGTAAAATTATGAGCCTGAAAATCAACGGAAATTAGTAGACAATTAGAGATCATGTGATTATAAACATTATCGGCTGTTAATTGGAAAGAAAAACAGAGAATATCACTGTTGATTCTTCTTTGGATTTTATCAAGAATATCTAAATATATATCAGAGCAACAAACCAGATGTGGCAGCCATATTCAAATCAAGAAACGAACGGTAGTCTTATAAATATGTAAGATAGATTCTGGCGAGAGAAATTGTCTCGCTCGATACAGTGAACCAGCTTTCCTAGATACAGACTTAGCAATTGATTAAATATAATCTTTACCCTTCATATGAGCGGGAAACGTTAGTCCGAGAAAGCGCAACGAATCACTCTCCTAGATAATGTAACGCTATAGTGGATATCCTTATTGGCTGCGCTAGATGTTGGGCCCGTCACGTAATGAGTTACCAATATGTTTTAAATGTCTTCAATGTTGATGAATGGCAAAATAAATTCATCCTTTTTTTTTTTTTTCCCAAATGGTACAGGTTATAACAAAGAGACTTTAAGCTAATGACTATATTTGTGCAAGACATTCTGCAAGTTTGACTATTACCCACCTTGGCAAAAAAATAAAAAAATAAATAAATAAATCAAAGACACCAAATTAATGAAATGTCCCCCAGCCTCTTCACATATTAATCCACCAGAAAACTTATGGTCCGTGATTGATATCATCATCATCATTATTCCCCGGACCAATTGTGATCGTAGGGTTGCTGCGCGGCTGAGGACCTGACCAGTTCTCTCAGCATATCTGGTTTTGAAAGCCGCTGAGATATTTTCATGCGTGGACCTGACAGGACCCAACCTCTCGACATTAAAGGCTCGCCGTAAACGTGGCCATTGGTTCCATCGGGGAAAACACTTCGCCCTGTCCACTGACTTCAGCTTAGGAAGTCCTCCGTCCAAGGGCATCGGGTGAGAACCACCCTGGCTCCACACATAGACACGGAACCCCTGTCAATCACATCGTGGTTAATTTTACAAGAATGTTCACCCGTCCTTTGATAGATCTTGTTTCTTATCTTGATGGATGACTAGTCACCCTCCTCAACATAATTTCTGTTTGGGGAGTCACCAAGACTCGGCCATACGAATTCCATGGTATCAGTAGCAATCGTAGAGTGATTCGTTTTTTAAGACTTATCAGCCCATTACATGTTATTTAAAACAAAACAAACAAAAAAAAAATTAGATTGTTAGAATTTCCGGGGCGGAGATAATAATTGTTTACTGATACAAGTTTTACTAATTAACCCATAGCTGGGGGATGATGAAGTGGATTCATACCTTTCCCGAAGATATTTGCGCGTAAGTGAATATAACGAACCCAACGAGAATTAGAACTTGGTTATCCGATTAAAAATTCAGAGCCATTATCCATTACACCACCCGCACATCTTATTGCACCTGACATTCCCAAACGCTCACCCATCTTGGTACTGACCTGGCTCGATTTTATTTAGCTTCGTTGATCGTACGAAAGCCGAAGTTTCAACGAGAAGTGGCGGTCAGATTGATGTAGATGAGAATAAAAATATCCACGCTATGATTCCTGAGAAGCAATAAAAACTGACGCAATGTTATAATCAAAGCAGAGGATTTGTTATGGCTGACTACTAAATATCAAGAAGTCCCTATTATATTTTGAAATATTAAAATAATAATTTATTCCGTTATATAAACTATTGTGTCAATCAAATATATGTTTCTGCAGCTTATATGTTTTGGATTCCTTTATAAATGAAAAAAAAAGAAAATTATGTTACACCTTGTTAATTTCTATCATACAAATCTGACCTCACCCGCAAAAGTTATTATCAATATGTTTAATATAGATAGATATTAGTAATTGAAAGTTACACGATAAATGAAACATGAACAAATTTACGGTTGTTTAATACAAATTTTAACGTGGAATTATTAATTTATATAATTTTATAAATGATATGCATAATGTCATGCAACATGTTATGGTGTACATCGGTGAGATACCCAGAAATAAAAAAAAAAGATATTCTGCATAGCAACATTGTAAAAGTGCTGATAGTTCCTCATTATAAAACATCTGATCACAATGGCGACTTAATAAATGGCAGTCTGATCAGGAGAAAAAAAAGACTTAAAGTAAAAAATGCATTGAGAGTGTGCTAATCTCACAATTCTTTAAAAAAAAACTAATCTAAAACTAAGACCATAAATAATATTACCAATCCTGATAAAAGTAATAATAGCACAATGCGGTACATGAGGTAATAAAACAAAACAAAAAAAAAACAACAAAAAAAAAAAACAGAGATCTACTCGGAGCGGGATGATATAAAATCAGACAGATCCCAACGGCTTTAATATATACCAAAATAAAAATAAATACTTTCTGGTTT